CCCCCCCCCCCCCGCCCCCCCCCCAGTGCATGAATGTCGTGCACCGGGCCTCTAGTTATATATAATGCACAATCATGTATTGAAATACAAGTGAGGTTCCATTTTCTACGACAAGATTGTTAAGTGCTTCCCAGCCGTTGAAGCACTTCACTCCAACCAGTATGTGTGGGGCAGTCTCAGAATAGGCTTTTCCTCCAGCACTGTTTTACCACTGAAAGCTAACAAAAAATTCTAAGAATAACCTGCAACAATCTTACTGTGGAAAAGGGGTGTACAGTTGTGAGTACACGAAACAGAGTTTCTTCTTGTATTATTATTTATTAATTACTATATTACTTTCCATACAAACAACTGTAAAACTACTGTTGCCCCACCCTGTGTTTTTCTAAGGCTAATAACACAAGAAAATGCTTATCCTATATAATAAAAAGGTAATACACAAATTGACCCTAACAGCAGAATGACTGGGAATGACTGGTCACTATGACACACACCGACCACCAGGGGGACAGATGCTCAGTGCAGGAGCTGCCCTCTGGTGGTCAGTGCGCTCCCACAGGGGGAGCTCTGCTCAGCCACAAGCCAGGCTGATGGCTGTCAGCACAGCAGTGGTGGCGGGAGCCTCTCCCGCCTCCTGAGCAGCGCTAAGGATGTCCGACTGCAGCTTAGGCCTGCTCCTCGCTGGCAAGTGGACATCCCCCGAGGGCTCCTGGGCTGCCAGAGGGATGTCTGACTGCCAGCAGGGATTGGGCCTAAGCCAGCAGGTAGACATCCCTTGAGGGGTCCCAGACTGTGAGAGGGCACAGGCCGGGCTGAGGGACCCCCCTGCTCCTCGCTGGCAAGTGGATGTCCCCCGAGGGCTCCTGGGCTGCCAGAGGGATGTCTGACTGCCAGCGGGGATTGGGCCTAAGCCAGCAGGTGGACATCCCCCGAGGGGTCCCAGACTGTGAGAGGGCACAGGCCGGGATGAGGGACCCCCCCCCAAGTGCACAGATTTTTGTGCATCAGGCCTCTAGTAGTAGAATAAGTAGAAACCAGCGTATCCATAAAGCATACGTACACTGTACTCTGGTAGTGGAAGGGAGGAAGGGGGCATGCTTTTATGTGTTTGTGTGTCTGTGTAACACATACACACTTTTACAGTGTGCATGTATGTGTGTAGTATAACCAGACTTCATAGGAAAAGGGCTATAAGGACGTATTCTAAAAGCTTATCAGTGATTAGATCTGAGTAAGAGGATTTTGTTTTAGCTATGGATTAAGTTTTACAATAGAAGTTACTGAGGAAGTAGAAACTTGCTCAACAGCTGACTTTTTGGGATTTGTTTGAATTATATCTTTAAAAATACAGTATTTGAAACCTGTTTTATAGAACACAAAAAGAATCAGTTAAAAAAAAATAAAGACACCTATGAAATGCCAGAACTATATCATCAAAAAAAAAATCAGTTTAATATCATTTGGGGGGTAGGATTTTATTACTGTTTTATTTCTAAGATACGGGTGCCATTATGTTCCTTTTTTGTTTAAAATCAATCACTGATTCTCAGTTAGTCAAGATCTCGACTGATTCACCACCTGCCTTTCAGGTGCTTTTCCTGCCACCCTGTCCCTGTCCCTTCTCTCATCTGGGGAGAGGATGGGATGCTGTGTAGAAGGGCGGGACTTAGGAATATGATATATACTTGTACCCACTTTTATTATGTTTCAACCATAACAGAAACAAAAATGCTTTTCCCCAGGCATGCTGTGTGCTCCCACACCTCTGATTCTTCATACTTTATATGTGAAATATGCCTCTGTCTCACAGTGCCTTGCCCTGGCAGGACAGCGCCCTCTTTCCCAGTGACTGCGTAGCTGTGTGGCTCTCATCACGCTTGCCTCCTATTGTGATGTTTGTTGTTGAAGTGTGTGTGGACTAGGAGTGTAAAGTGACTATTTCTCATTCCATACTTGGTTTCTTACCTATTGCTGCACTCGCCACAGACCACAAGTGAATTGTAAGATTTTAAAATCTTAGTTAGGATTTCGACTGTGTCAGCACCCTTGCAAGGGGTCAGATATCAGCCTAAATCTGGCTTCAGCTCTGCCCCTGAGCGTGTGTCTCCTTTCACGGATACAAGTGCTTTCCTTGAGTTGCTGTTGCTGGTGCCGCTCTGGGCTTCTCATGGTGAACTTGACCAATAGAATGACCAGAAATAGCGACTGAGAATGTAGTCTCCCTTTGCCCATCTGATCTTTTCTTGCTCTTTTCTTGGTAAATAATGGTGTGATGATATCATTGTTTGTGTGATGTTTTTGCCTCGAGCTTTTCGAAAATATACAACTCCATTTTGCTATATCCTTTACTCTCTTCCTGAAAATCACCGCTTGCTAAGAGAACTGTGCTAAGACGCCCACCCGGAGTCATTCTGACGCCGCATGTCTGTGTTTTAACATTGCTGTATGTCTCCGCGCTTTTTATACTCCAGTTCACGTCAGACATTGTGATCTCGAATCGGGGTGCTGACCCAGACCTCCATGTATTTCTGAGTAATAAAAGAATAGGGGAAGAAAAGGAACAACATTTTTTTTTCTCTTGCCTTACAAAAGACAGCTGTCTATATTTCATATGAATATGTGTTTGTGTGTGTTTAGTTTGCACTAGTGGCTATCCTTTATTAAGTATAAAATATATCTCCTCGTGTCAGATAACTTTCCCCAGATGGCCCATCAGAAGCGGTTCATTGAACGGAAATACAGACAAGAGTTAAAAGAAATGAGGTGGGAAAGAGAACATCAAGAGAAAGAGCCAGATGAGACCGAAGACATAAAGAAATAAAGGAGGACACGGACATCATGGCGTATTTGCTTGCTTAATAACTGTGACTGTTGCCCATTGAGTTGTACCCCAGTTTTTCTACAGACAGTGAATGAAGTGTGTGGTTGAAATAAAACCCAGTCAAATCACTATTGTTGTTTTACTGGTTTTATATTCTGTTTTTAGCTGGTGGTCTTTATTACCAGGTATTTGATTTCTTTTTAATGGAAACCTTCACTTTAGCAGATATGTGTCCCCTTTTATTTTTTTTCTTTAAACAATAAAATTTTAAAAGTTTATTCTGTGTGGAATAGATCCTGTTTTTCTATCTCTGAGATTATTACCCGAGACTTTCAGCTGGCAAGTGAAAAATTCACTTTACCAGATATTTGGATTACTCTCTACTAACATGTATACTTTTTAAACTCTCTGGATTATTAACTAGATTTTTTAGCTTGCATGTGGATGTTTATCAAGTTCTCAGCTGCAAATATTGAACTTCACCTTCTCTAAGCAGTGAATCCTTTGTAAATGGAATCTCTTTAATGTTTAACTGGCTAACAGGAGAGGGAAAGACATATTTGAGTCACATATATTCTTTGAGTCATTAGAATAGGGATGAAGTCAGGACTCTAAGCCAGACCCTTTAAGAAGTTTATAGATGGACTTCAGGGAAGTTCCACATGAACCTCCTGAAATTTTATGTGTGTCTGGGTTTGGGGAGTGGGTGGGGAGCTGGAAGAGAGGGTTCATGGCTCTCATCAGTTCAAAGTGGTCCCTGCAACAAAGGGTTAACAATTATATTAAAAGATATGACATTTAAAAAAATGTTATTTTATACTGAACATCACTGGTTTCTTATTAATAAAGGCAAAACTTTCTTTTGAATGAGTTTTCATCCGTTATTTTAGCAAATATATAGTGAGTGCCTACTATATTTCAGGCACTGTTCTAGGCTCTGGGGCTACAACAGCAATGAACAAAACGTTCGCGCGCGCGCACACACACGTACACACACATCAGAGGGAAGCATGAGAGAGAAGACCTCGATAGGGTTTTTAATTTGTTAATCATAACAATGTAAGATGGTGCCTGTAAGAAAAGGTTGCCCTGCCCACCTCTCCCACAGACAGCAGTACTGGGAGGGAGAGAAGGCTGATTCATCAGGTGTTCCTGAAAATGTATGAGCAAACGCAGGGAAAACATGACTTCTTTTTAAACATACACTTTCACTAGTCCTGCATGTGCATCAAAATAATGCCAAAGCCAACGTTCAGTTCACGACTCTTTCTTGGACTCTGGCATTTCCTCTCTTGAGTATTCTGGCCCCGCTAGGGTTCTCTCTCCATGTTAATATCTCTTGAAACCTGAAGAAGTTAAGTCCACAAGACATGAGAGTCTCTGATGCATTAAAATCTAACAAACGCCATCAAATTATTCCAATAGTGTCAGTCCTCACATTCTTTTGGATGGCTGTGATGGTCAATTGTACGTGCCAACTTGGCTAGGCAAGCGATGCTGTTTTAAGTAGCTAGGTTTGTGGTCATTCTTATGCATCAATAGAAAACATACATTCACATTTTTTTTTCTAAACAGTTGCTTCATGCTACTATCCTGTTTAAAATATTCCATGAGTTCCCCATTGCCTGTAGGATAAAGCCCAAATTCCTTATCACAGCGAGAAATTCCCTCACGACCAGCATCCGCCTCTTCTGCTGGCACCACCCCCTCACACCACACTCCACCGTACAGAACAGGTTCCAGATATTTAAACACATTTTACTTTTTCTCAGCAGAGGACTTTGCATTGCCTGAAATAGGCCACCTCCTTGCTAATGATCTCTTACTCATGTTTGGGGCCTCAGCTCAGGAATGAGCTCCTGCAAGCCTTTCCTTGGACTTAAATTGGGGTTAGGTGTACATTCTTGGACTCTCCCGAATCACATTTGTCTCACTGTGTTATTACTATCTCTTCACTCACCCATCTTCCCCAGCTAGACCACGAGCCCCGGCAGACAGGACCATCCCTAATCCACTTCTTCAGCATGGGCTCTCCTTCACTGCTGGCTGAATTAAAAACACCAGACTGCTCTTTGCCATCCTTCCACAAGCCTCAACGACCTTAAAGCAGAACAACTTGCTCTAAGCTACCTTCCTGCAGGAATTCTGAGGCTACAGTGCAGAGAATGACCCATTGGAGGCCAGAGCATCCACACCCTCTCTGTTCTGCACTTGGACTTGGTCAAGAACAAGGTGCTAGAACGGGACAGCACGAGCCAGCAGGACTCAGAGGAGCTTATCCTCTCTTGTGCTCCCAGAAGCTGTGGCTCTCAAGTCTCTCTGAGGTGGAGGTTGGGATGAGCAGACAATAGCTCCAGGAGCTTCATTCTAGATGATGACACAGCCACAGTAGCCTGAGGGGAGGCTTGGTCATCAGTGCCGTCACCAATGGTCGGCTTGGGACAGGCTTTAGTCAGGTGACCCCATAATCTTCAGCAGCAACTCCCTCTCCAATATTCTTTGCTATGGACAAATGATCTTTGTTCAATTTCATATCATTGTATTACATAAACACGGCTCGGAGTTGCCACCTCCAACTAGACTGCTGCTTCTATTTAGAAATTCGGGAGTTGCTATTAGCAAATGAGGACAGAACACTCAGTCTTCTCACAAGACCACCCCAACTAGATTCCCCATCATTGCCTTGCACGGCCAATGGCCCCAGAGACACCCCCATCAGTCTCTGCTAATACCCCAGCGATGACAGCACAGCTGTCCCATCTCCCATAGAGTTGCTTCTGAACGTTTTGTTTCATTTCTGCTGGAATATTGGTCAGGTTAAGGGAAAAGTTTTAAATGAAGCTTAAGAAGAAAAAAAAGCATAGCCAGCTAATCGTTTGTATGCTGACTATTAGCCCATCAGGATCGGAAACTCTCAGATAAAACAACTCCTAATGCAAATGCAGCAAGGCCCTTCACTGTAGTGATTCTAAAGCTCACCTCTATTATTATAATAATAGGGGTCTCAAATGGAGCTGTTGAGAACAGTGGCTGCCCCTGACTAGAATTCAACCAGAAAGATCAAGAGAGAGCCCTAATTGCCTTTCTTCTCAGATCAAACAATTGACTTAATTCTCCAGGCCTACACACCGCAATGTGTTTGAGGAGATTCAAATAGGTTACTATGGAGGATTAAGGTTTTCTCGGCAGATTATACTTTTATGCCCTGTAGTTCATTGCTTGAAGTGTTAAGTAGCTTTGTCAAAATAAGCAGGGCTGGATGGATTTTTAGAAACTTGCAAATCACACACTCGTGCTGAAGAACACAAGGGAGGTGCGTGCCCCCCTCTCCTTTTAAAAATAAATTTAATGGTTGGAAGTGGGGAGAAATTAACCACAGTAAAGATTAGTTGGAAATTTCATGAGCTATCTCAGATAAGGGAAATAAAAGTGTGGGTGTTTATTGTGTTTCGCCTCTTAAAAATTGTTTCAGAAAATGATGCAGCTGAAGAAGCCCCATAAAGAGAAGGGATTTTCTTGCGAATGCATAACCGCCTGAGGAGGAAGTCCAGGGGGGCTGTGAAATCAGACCCTTGAGGCGTCTCTGTAGTGCTGTGCTAATCAGGGTTATTTTACTCACAAAGATTTCATTTCTGCTTAAAGGAGCCGGTGGCAAAATAAGCTTTCATTGCCTTACAATTGGTGTTCCCAGGAAAGGGCACTTGCCGGAAAGTCTTCGGTGACATTCTGTCCTTGGCTCCACAGGGGGCTCCGTTGTCCTCCCGGGTCCCCCAGGAATGCGTTCCTCTTTAATCGAAGAGTTGTTCTGTGTGTTTACCCGGTCACTAACTGAGCGGAACTCTGGTCCTGTGCACACCGCCCTCCACTTCTTCCGTTCTCCTGGGTCCATCGCTCTTAGCAAAGCCACGTTAAGTAGCTTAATTGATGTTGCCCCATTGCACGACCTACCTATCAAATGTAAACTGCAGGCTAGAGAACTCCCTGGCAATGACTGCACGACCTCGGTGTGCAAACATCCCCCAGAACCATAGCAAGTGTGTTTTCTCTGGCCTGACCCAGTCACAGCTACGTCTGAGGCCGCCCTTCTCCATGCACTAGGTCAGGGATGGCGAACCTCTGACACGCGTGTCAGAGGTGACACGCGAACTCACTTTTTTGGTTGATTTTTCTTTGTTAAAAGGCATTTAAATATATAAAATAAATATCAAAAATATAAATCTTTGTTTTACTATGATTGCAAATATCAAAAAATTTCTATATGTGACACGGCACCAGAGTTAAGTTAGGGTTTTTCAAAATGCTGACACGCTGAGCTCAAAAGGTTCGCCATCACTGCACTAGGTCTTGGCAGGTGCCAGGAAATATCTCCCTCTTGCTTTGATCTCTCATCCCCTCTGGCGTGGGCCCGGCTCCGTGTTCCTCAGCCATGCCTGTCTTCCCAGGTGTGAGAAAGCCATGGAGACAGCAGCCCTTGCCAATACTTCCAAATCGCAGCAGAAGCTCTCAGCACCACCACACTCCCCGAGGTCCCCGGGGCCCAGGAAAGCTCCTAGGTCATTTGTGGTCTTCTCCCCAGGAGGGAGCTTGCTGGTAGACCTCAAGGCAGGTAAGCGGTGAGTGTGGGGATGTGAGATTGGCCCGGACAAAGCTAAACACACAGGAAGGAAGAGAAACCAGAGGCCTAGGGGGAAGGCAAGAAAGCAAGAATGAAGTGGCCTGCCTGTTTCAGAGGCCGGGCACCACTAGGGTGGTGAGGGAGGGAGGTGGGCCGCTGAGCAGAGGAGAGGCAGGGAGGGGTAGGGATGGGGAAGTGGAGAAAAGTGCAGCACAGCTTCAGGGGCACCAAGCACTGGGTGGTCAGCATCGCAAACTCCCTCCTTCTGTCTCCGAGAGAGCATATGTACAACACCATTGCTCAGTCATGGAGGAGAGCGGCAGAATAGACAGTGCTGAGTCCAGTGCCCAGGCTGCCCACGGGGAGGAGACTGAGATTGCACAGGGTCTCATCGCGTCACCTGGCCAAGGGGATTGGGGAGCTGGTTTTGGCACCACCAGCTGTTCCATCTCTCTCTCCTCTCTGCCACGTTTCCTTTTTTGGGTCATTCTCATCCTGAGTCCTCCATGGACCC